ACTATCCGAAACAAAACCTTAGAATAAATACAACCTAAATATTAATTGAAAAATATTCCACTAATAATACTCCACTTACTAATAAATATCTAACTAAATAAGTTCATTAAAAATGCAACACCATTTAAATATATACTTTAGAGGCAATTAAGCTGATCATTTAGGGCGGAATTATGTAATGCCATTCAGTGCTAAAATTACGGCCGGCATTATCTATAAAATCAACTTTTATTCGGATCACCTGCTGAATGAAACGGATGACCGATTTTGATTGGTCCGAAGTTTTGACTAAGTTTAGATGTTTCGACGCCTATTTAAACCCGCCGAAACCTGTCGAAACGTTTAGACTTTTGACGGTTTTAGTTTCGACTTTCGACATTAGCCTATTATGGTTTCGTCCCGCAACTATATACCTACCTGCTCCTTGTCTTAGATTATCAGCGACACAACAATGGATTTTTATTTGTTTTAATTAAAAATTTAAATATCACGATCAATTTGTTCTATACGATCACGTGAATGTCCAATGAAAAGAAAGAATTACAAATCGCCGCTAGTATACTGTTCAATATTTTTAAAAAAATGTATATAGGAACCCTTTGTGGTTTATTAATATTATATTTTACAAGAAATTTTTTAACAGCAAATTAAATCTTCACGAATCTAGATTGTTAAAATAATTTAAATATGAATTAAATCATTAAATTTACGAAATAATTAATATGCGACAATATAATCATGAAATAATTTCGCATATATGCCTAATAATAAGTAATACGCATTATAAAGGAAAATGATTCTTACTTGTCTAAAGATCTTGTTTAAAATAGTATGCTTTAAGTGAACGATGTTCCATTGAAGAATTCAATTATTAATAAATCATTTGCAATTTGAGTAGGAAGGTTTATGATTCGATTCAAAGTGTCTTCATTAGTTATGAAATGAACGCGTCTTTGAGATATTCTATTAGCAATATGTCGTTCTCTATTTCGATTTAGTCTTCTTCTTTGATTAATATTCCTCAGAAGTCGAGTCCCAATTATCTCACCGTCATTAATTATGAGAGAGTAATTGTTTAAGGGTCCGTTTAAAGTCATTTTTTGTTATATATAATTATCAGGCAAATTATTTTTGAATTTCTCAACTCGTATTTATATCTTAAAAATCCAATCACTTTTGTAACACAATAATTTGTATTTATAGATTTGGTCATTAGAAGCCAGCTGATTTTTTCACACTAGAGTATATTCGGTTCGGTAAATAAAAAATGAACATTAAAAAATGAACAGGATTATACGTGCCCAAAAGCCGTTAGATTTTTTCGGAAAGTATAAAAAATTTTAACCCATTATCTTTATTGATTTTTTAAAATATAAATCATATGACTCGGTATAATATCAAATAACAGACATCATATGAATTTATCAATCTCATAATATGTTCAATTAAGGGTCTGCCTGGAAATCTGATTTGTAAATCTGGTAAGTTTATAATAAATTTGGTTGGTTTCTTTTTGAAACATTTGAAAAATGAAAAAAAATTTATTATTTTAATGATAAATTTATATTATTTATAATAAATATCATTCATGCAGTGGAACGTTATATTTTTATCAAAAAAAGATTTTCAGAGGTAAACACTATCGATATTAATTAATGTCATATGTTAGCACCGTTGTCATTTGATTTCAGCCCTTCTGAGAATAGCTTATTATTCAAGAACTCTACTTACAATGTCACACGACTTGATCAGAAAAAAAAATAAATCATCGTGGATATGCAACAAACTTGTAAAGTGCATCATCAATCATTGATCTTTATGAATAAATTTTGTATCTCCTACATAAGTTATTTCTGTCTTATCATATGTTCTTAGCGTTAAAAATTTTATATTCAACTTTCTCGAGAATTGAACTTTCATAACATAATATTTAGATTTATGAAAGAAACGAGTCGAGAATTTCTTGTAAGAAAAAAAAAAAATTCAAATTCAAAAATTTTATTAGAAGAAAGTAAACTATCAAGAAATTATTATTTTAAATAATTCTAAAAAACATGATATAGAAGAATTTTTTTATGTTATATATTTACAATCATTTCTACTTTCGATCATGCAACATTTTTAAATTGTTCCAAATGCCATTCATGCATTTTTTATTCATATTGTTACAATGATTTATTTACCCTCAAAAAAAAATTCTTTATTTAAACTAATTCTCATCCATGTAGATTACGGAAAAATAAACTCTCCGAAACGATAATTTGCATTGCATGAATGAAAAAACAAAATTTTAAGGTTGAATGAAACAACAACGTGTGGCGTTGATTTGTTTGTTCGTCGAACATCATCAAATAATTAATCTTAATTTCTAAATTAGTCATCATTAAAGCCTTTTACCCCTTAAAGGGGTAATTATCTAGTTTGTTAAGTTATTTGTCAACGTTCGGAGAAAATTGTCGATAGAATTTCTTATTAAAAATCTTTTTTATTTCGTTAATTAATGACTTTTTCTTTCGATTAATTTTTTTTAAGGAAATATATCATAATTTAGAATCTTTCATCAAGACAAATGTCCTTAAAATGGGCACAGAAGCCAAACATTTCTCGATATAAGATTTTAATTTTTCTAAAATTAAAAGGAAGAAAATTTGATTACACATAATTTTTGACATGTTCTCTATATTGCATGAAGGAGGAATATATATATATATATTTTATATTATCAAACTTAGTTATCCGACTTTCAAAATGTGCATGACAGCCTTTGGATAAAGTGCCATGATAATATATCTTTTCCTGTTTGACAGATAAATATATCGATAAAGTGGACCTAACCTTAAGAATTTGTACGCATAATTCGTTATTACGTTGAATTTAGAACATTTTTTTTTAACTAGACATTTATGAAAAACAATGTTTCCTTCCGCCTTTGAAATGAAACCAGCATCTTAAATTAACGAATTGGAATGATTAACTTATCTTTAATTGACAATTAACTAATTAACGATGATTTATAGTTATCGTTATCGTAAATTATTTAAATTATTGATAATTTTCACGACCCAAATATACAAAGAACAATTATTAAAATTAGTCACAGTTATAAATAATTATAAAGTGGAAGAAAACGTGAAAGTATTTTATATTACAGTAATATTGAAAAATAAACGCATTGTATTACGATAGCGCGTGTCTCCCACAAGACATTTGATTGGCCAGATATTTTTGTGAAACACAACAAACCGAGCTAAATTTTTGTTTGAAATCAATAAACAGAAGACTGAGATGGGAAAGCAATAATATCAATATTTTGAAATCGTAAATTATAAAATGTTAATCCATTGAATATCATGAAAATAAATTTAAATAAAAGAATTAATTTAATACAAAAATATTAATAGACCTTTAATTATTAAATGGTTCACAAAAAGATTTTCTCATCATAAGTTAAAATGGTAATACATTCTGATTTCGGAGATAAGCCGATAAGTATATATTAAAATACTTAAAAAATTAAAGTTTTTTCAAGGTGGTCTAGGTTAATAATGAAAGATGAAAAGTCGGAATTTGCCGAATTCGTGTTTTTTTTTTGTTGAGATGATTAAGCATAAACAAAATAATCACTTTTTATGAAATTTTTTTTTACGGAATATTCTAAAAAATTTTTATTTTATTTAACTAAAAGGAAGATTGTATAAAAAAAAGTTATTTAAAATTTTTATTTTATGTCAGAAAAAATTCTAAAATATACAAACAATATTTGATTGTATTATATTGTTGTTAATATTTAACTTAAAAAATTTTTTATTTGCGGAGTTTTCTCATTCATTCCGCTTGTATCACATTAAAACAGCCCTTCAATCTATCCAAATCAAGCAAATAATGAATGACAAATTGACTCGGAACTTCTATAAAAAAGGCACATATCATATTTTTATTCCTTATTTCGATTGAAAAAAAATTTCCAATTTAAAATTTTAAATATAATCGTCTAAATAAAAACGTTAGTATAATCAACCTTTTGATTTATCCAAGTTCATGTTATATTAGGCGACGTTTTTTATCAAATTGTTATTCTCAAATTTACATCAACGTATTGGGATATGAATGATATAATTATGGAATGCTCATGCGATTTGTGTAGATATTCGTGGGGTCCGATATATTCTTATAAAAACGCACTTCATTATTGTTAGGTTAAGCTGTATGTCAAAATATATATACAAATAGAAGTTATACTTTCTATATTATTCAAAGATTTTTTATGCACTTTGGAAAATAAGAGCATCAATATCGGATGAAAGTTCCCAAGAGAACGAATTATAATTTTCTATCCGTCGGATATTACGAGATTATGCCCCGGACGGTTAAAAATTTGATATTAGCCATAGAGGTCACCAAATTCAAATCACTGAATCTAAAAAATGCCAAATCCAAAACAACATCCATTCCATGTTTTTATTTCGCACATAGTTCCCCCGCCCCATTTCCCTCATTCAAGCCCAGACCAAAATTATATCACCCCAAAAGATATTTTTTACACCATAATGTGATATTATTATTTTAGTCAATTTATGGAAAGATGCATATCGATAGCATTTCCTATTCGCCCTTATTTAAGTCAACTTTTGGAATAATTCAATGATGTCCAAAAAAGGCAAAATGAGATAGTGAAGCGACGCTTACCACCCTCAGTTCATAAGAGGCTGGTTTCACAAACTTCCGCAAAAAAATTAGAGCCTAACTTCAAATATTATTGAAGCACCTCACATATTTGGATATTCTTTGAAATACATTCTATGCTATTATCGTTGCGCTAACGATATTACTTACAATATGTGTTTATCGATATTATTATACCGAATTAGAGTAATAACGTCAACTTTAATTTATACTTCAATGCATTAAAAAAAAGGTAGCGCATCGATAACCTTCTTAATGCAGTGTACTTGGGGTTCTTCAAAAATTAAAAACCTAATAAGGAAAATGGCAAAAAAAAAATGTATATTTTACTTTATATTGGGCGAAAACTTCAAACCATTAATCCTCAACATCGTAAAGGGGCTATTTCATCACAAAATGGTTGACTCTGATAAGAGTCCTTCGCATTTCCACCAAAACAAATAACCGAAAGAATACCCCCCCAAGGACATTTCAAAATTAATAGTATAGCGAGAACAATTCCTTTTCACCCTGATTTTAGTCAATTTGTGGAAAGATGCATATCAGTATCAATTTTATTCGCCCATATTTTTAGTCAACTTATGGAATATGCAATGATTTTCATGAGTGCAAGTATTTATGAGTTCCGGCATAATGATCATACTCCTGCACCAGATCGGATCTAAACCATTGTTACAATAGAGATAGAATTATCTCTATATCTTTGGCTACAGAATGGATGTAATAAGAAGAATTCACCGTGTCCTATCAAATCATCATGTTTTTTAAATTTTTATTAAAGAAATTTAAAGAATTATGAATCTTTAAAAATTTTTCAATACAATGAATGAAACGTAAAATATTAATTTTATTTCCGTAATGTCGTAATTTATATTTCTAATTCTGAACAGAATTATAAATAATCATTTCGTCCAAATCTTTAGAATACCTTTATTTCGGTTCCATATCGCCGTTCGACTTTGCTTATTGAGAAGAATCCATACGAAATACAAAGTTGAGTTGAGTTGCAAAATTGGCTTTGGCTAAAGTCCTTACGAGTTAAACCATCAGAAGGAAAAATAAATTAGAATGGATAAGCTTTTTTACTCAAGATATATTTGTTTTTTTATAATTTAAATTAAGACATCGTTCTTGTAATTAAAAAAAAAGAATGAATTTTATAATAAATAAAATGTACTGAACAGTATTTTCCCAAAAAAAAAAATTTGATCATGGGCAATTCTATTGGTCGAAATTTATGCTCACCGACCAATAGCATTGGATGTGCAAAAATTATAATTACGTAATTAAATGATATCATCATACTCTCTTTTTCTAACGAAGGGGTTTTTTTTGATAAGTTCCTATTGTTCATGGTTATTACAAAGCTATTTACAACAATATACTGCAATTTATTATAAATTTTTTGTCAAAGAATCAGTTTTTTTTTTCGCGAAATAAAGTTAATAATTCTCGTTTAACGAATATTTGGATCCAAAAGTACCTTACTAAACGCTGAAAAAAAAATGGTCTTGGGAAGATATGATTGATTGACAATAATAATCTAATAATAGTAAATAATTTATTTTTAAATTTTCCTTTCCTTTTTCGCACAATTGATATTTGCTCGCAATTGACAATTTTCATAACGGAAACTTATCTCCTATGCAACTGACGCGTCATGCAGAGTAAAAGACTTTTAAAGTTATATGAATTTTACTCGTTCATAGAATATCTTTTCTTAAATTTAAGTTACCTCGGTAATGAGCGGCATATGTATATATGTGTGATAAATGAAACGATTGAAAAATTCAATGAAGATTATAATAATAAATAAAAAAAAAAAATTTTTTTTATTTATATATCATAGTCTTCAATTTATTATAAAAAGGCTCCAAATTTTTACTTATTGCACAATAAAAAAATCAAAACAAGACAAAAAAAAATTTAAATATAAATTTAAAATTAGAATTAAGAATTAAGAATTCAATTAAAATAATTAATTAATAATATAAATTAAATTCCTGATAAGATTATTTGATAACAATTTAAACTTAGATCATTTAATCAACTTCTTACGTCACGGTGAAGAAGTAAGAAATAGTGTAGTATTTATAAATTAGGAAAAAGAAGACAAAAAGTGAAAACAAAATTAATAATAAATACAACAATGTTTCAAAGACGTCGGCTTCAACGTAGACAACAATACGTAAATGGAATAAATCGAGCAATTCATCGAGCAAATCGTCAAAGACGCGCTAGGCTCTATAACCACCTATGCCTATTTAACGACTTGATTGTTAACCTTCCTAGGCAAATTGTTGATGATAATCCATTTGCCGATCAAATATTTAATGGATCATCTTTTACTTAATTGGTAATTATTTGGTTTAAGTAAATATTTAATATAGTGTAACGTTCCCATACTCAATAATTATTTTTATTTATTCTAAAGATCTATCCGGGAAATAATTACTTGTGATACATCCACATGGTTTACATTTTCATTTTATTAAATAATCTGTAACCTATCAAGGGACGGTTTAGGAATATATTTTTATAGTGTTATCTTATTGCAATTCATTTATTATATATGGGATGAATGCTAGAAAAATCAGGTTTTGGGAATTTTTTAATAAGAGCGTTTAGTTATTGATAATAATAAAGTTATAACCTGATTTTTCTAGCATTCGTCCCATATTTTCGGTATATTTATATAATAAACAATACTGTTTTCTGATTCCATTGATTTCCAAATTTGGGAATTTGGGAATTTTGACACATTTATATTTTAAATTTATTCCAAAAAAATCCTTTTTATTGAAAAAAAATAAACCTTTGGTCATATGTTCAATATTTATTTGCATTTTCATTTCACAAGTAATTAATTGTCTTAATCCATTAGTTATATTTTGATTGGCTAATCTTTATCATGTGATTGATGCGAATGCACATTAAAAAAAACCCAAAAAATGCAGATCAAACAATTTATTTTATTACTAACCAAATCACCACTAGGCCAAAAAAAAATTTTTTTTTCAGACAAGCATATGATTAACCAAAGTTTTTATAAAAAAAAAATTCTTTTTAAATAGATTCTCTCAATTGACTTGTGTTAGCACATTTTTAATAATTTAAATTGATACTATTATAAGCTTTTGAAAGGTCTTAAAGCAAAATCCAAATTCTTTATTATTTTCATTCAAATCTTTAAGAAGCATATTAAAATCTTGATAGAAGTCTCTGTTAAGTCTTCTAATAAACCAGTAAAATTACTTTCTTTTAAAATAGCATGTTTGACAATAATTTTAGATAATCAATTATTAACAAAACATTTTCTCGTAATTTCAAGTAAAGTAATAGATCAAGTCTTAGTTGTGTCACAATTCTAAGTATCACAGGCTTTCTAATTTCAGAATAATCACATGATGATTGGCATACATATTTTTATTTTATTAAAAGAGTTTTAAAGAATAACAAGACAAAAAATATTAAAAAAAATAAATAAATCTAAATTAGGTATTATATCTTCATAAAAAATTTAATTTATATATTTATTTATATTGGAATATTCATTTTATTAGCTAATTTTAAAATGTTTTGCAAGATATAAAATGGGATAATTATATTATTTTAATTTATTTGTACTATATAGAATTTATTAGCCAAAAGCTAAAAAAAATTGATTTTTCAGGTTTTTTTTAAATGTTTTACAAAATAATTTGATTATGTATAAATAATTCAGAAAGTATAGTGTATTAAATTTATATTTTTTGTTTATATTACATGTAACAGATTACATAACCAAATATTTTATAATATATAGTAATATTTAAGGCTAGTAAATGTTTATTATAATATAATACAAATTTCATTTGTGATAATATTATCAATAATATGATTCTTATTACATATAAAAGTCAAGATTTCTAAATAAATCATAATATAGATTTGGTTAAAAAAATATTGTCATTATCATTATAATAAGCTAATAGTAAGTAAAAATTATACTGTTTAAAAAAATTGTTAATGATAAGAATGAAAGGCAAAAAAATTAAAGTAGTCAATAAATCAAATAATTCTGCTCTTGTTAAAGATAATTAGTATTAAATTGCAATTAAAAAGAAATATTTAATTTGATTATAATGTTTAAGAAAAATCTGACTAATTCCTATTTAATATTAATCATAAGTAATATCTATTAAAGAAATATCTAAATAAATACTATATAATTATTACTATTAAAATAAATATTAAAAAAAATATGAATTGTTATTAAAATTAAAATAATTAGTTAGACTGTTTAATCAAGTTGTTAATTATTAGGGTTTTCGAAATTATTGAAATTGGCTATTATGCGTGATGATTGACAAAAACACAAAACACAGAAATCACGTGATAAAATAATTAGCCGATCATAGCATAATATAACACAAGATCTTGTAATACAACTAAGATCTAATTTCAAAGAATTTTTGTGTCACATTTATCGCGTTCATTATATTTATCATAATGCCTAAGAAAAAAGTATCTTACTCAAGAATATACCAAATTGGCACTTGTTTTTTGTGTCAAATATGTTTGAATTGTAATGAATTATTATCTTTTAATCACTGTCAATG